CTACGCTCGCCCAGCTGCCCCTGCCGCTGGCTGTGGCTGAGGCCGCCGGCGCCAGAGTGTGTCCGTGCGCGCCCAAGAATGGTCATGGCCTCAGCTGGCCTTGTGCCGCTGCCACATGGGCCCTTGCCTGAGTTAAATTAGGCAGGCCTAATTAATTTAGCCCAACCCTAGTTTAGATAAGTTAAACTCAGTGACGAATGGGCCCTGTCGTTTAATAAGTGGTTAAAGTAATTCTAATATGAGTTGTGTCTATGACACCTAGGCCCCACTTCACCTTTTGACCCAGTCAAACATTGACTCTGTTGACCTGTTGACTCTGCAGTTGACCCAGTCAACTGGGCCCCCTGGCCCCACCTGTCATCCACTGTGGCTAGCCCAAAGTGGGTATAGAAGGTATATTCTGTTTTTAATTCGAATTAAAATAAGTCCAGAAATTCAGAGAATGTTTTAAACTTTAGAAAATCATAGAAAATAAATCGTAGCTCGGATGAAAAAGTTTTATACATGAAAGTTGCTCAGAACGACAAGACAAAACCGGATACGCATCCTGTTCGTCCGCCACACATTCCTAGCATAGCGAACACGCAACTTTTCCCCTCCGATTCGTCTGTCCGAAACGCGAAACACCGGGGATATTTTCCCGGATGTTTTCCCCCTTCACCGGTATCACCTCATACTGCGATAGGTCACCCCTAGCACCGCGCACTGCCATGTTATGCTTTGTGTTGCTTTGTTTGCTCTGTTATTTATTGTGTTCCCCCTCCGTTACTTCTTTCCAGTAGACCCCGAGACCGCTGCCGGTACCCCCGATCGACTACAGTGTTGACGACCCCTCCTTGCCAGAGCAACCAGGCAAGCCCCCCCCCCCTTGATCACCAGATATCGCCTACTCTTCTCTATACTGCTTGCATTAGAGTAGTGTAGCATGTTACTACTTTCCGTTAATCCTATCCTGATGCATAGCCTGTCATTGTTGCTACTGCTGTTGATACCTTACCTGCAATCCTACATGCTTAGTATAGGTTGCTAGTAATTCATCAGTGGCCCTACATTCTAGTCCGTCTGTCATGCTATACTATTGGGCCATGATCACTTGGGAGGTGATCACGGGTATATACTATATACTTTATACATGATACATGTGATGACTAAAAGACAGGTCAGCTCGTAGGAGTACCCGTGAGTGGATCTTTGTGGCGAAGCGATAGGGCAGGTTGAGACCACCTAGGAGAGAGGTGGGCCTGGCCCTGGTCGGTGTTCGCGGTTATTTCAAGATAACACGTTTAACGAGATCTTGGTATTTGATCTGAGTCTGGCCACTGGCCTATACGCACTAACCATCTACGCGGGGATAGTTATGGGCACTCGACGTCATGGTATCAGCCGAAGCCTTCATGACGTCAGCGGCTGAGCGGCGCGCGCCGGATTGGAACATAAGCCTGCTCTTGTATTAAGGGGGCTAGTTCTGCTTCCGGCCGCCCTCGCAACGTGCAGGTGTGCAATGGGCGATGGGCCCAGACCCCTGCGCCATAGGATTTAGACCGGCGTGCTGACCTCTCTGTTGTGCCTAGGTAGGGCTGCGACGTGTTGATCTTCCGAGGCCGGGCATGACCCAGAAAAGTGTGTCAGGCCAAATGGGATCGAGCGTGTTGGGTTATGTGGTGCACCCCTGCAGGGAAGTTAATCTATTCGAATAGCCGTGATCTTCGGTAACAGGACGACTTGGAGTTGTACCTTGACCTTATGACAACTAGAACTGGATACGTAATAAAACACACCCTTCCAAGTGCTAGATACAACCGGTGATCGCTCTCTCACAGGGCGACGAGGGGAGGATCATCGGTTAGGATTATGCTATGCGATGCTACTTGGTGAACTTACCATCTACTCTCTTCTCTTGCTGCAAGACGGAGGTTACCAGAAGCGTAGTCGTCGACAAGACTAGCTATCCCCCTCTTATTCCGGCATTCTGCAGTTCAATCCACATATGATACCCCATTTACCATTTGATACCAATGCATACATTTGTAGTGTAGCTCCTTGCTTGCGAGTACTTTGGATGAGTACTCACGGTTGCTTTTATCCCCCTTTTCACCTTTCCTATATCCGATTGCTGCAACCAGACGTTGGAGTCCAGGAGCCCGACGCCTCCGTCGACGATGACTACTACTACTCGGGAGGTGCCTACTACTACGTGCAGCCCGCTGACGGCGACCAGGAGTAGTTTAGGAGGATCCCAGGCAGGAGGCCTGTGCCTCTTTCGATCTGTATCCCAGTTTGTGCTAGCCTTCTTAAGGCAAACTTGTTTAACTTATGTCTGTACTCAGATATTGTTGCTTCCGCTGACTCGTCTATGATCGAGCTCTTGTATTCGAGCCCTCGAGGCCCCTGGCTTGTAATATGATGCTTGTATGACTTATTTTATTCATAGAGTTGTGTTGTGATATCTTCACGTGAGTCCCTGATCTTGATCGTACACGTTTGCGTGTATGATTAGTGTACGATTGAATCGGGGGCGTCACAGCTGGAGCCCGCCACAGCCAGAGGGACCGACCACCGGGGGCTGGCGCCTGCCCTGTCCCTGGCCATCCTCAATGTGCATCGACCACGTCCCCGGGTAGACCCGCGGGAACGGGCGATCATCTTCGGACCCAGAGGACAGGATGCCGCTCTGGCCTGAGTGCGAGCAGCTAGGCGTCAGGGGCGTCCAGTCTTCAATGCAGTCGACGTGGATGAGCATGACGTTGCGTCGGACACGTGGTGGAGGGGGGACCTCACGGTTGGGCGGTGAGAAGCCCAGCATAGCCTCGACGCGGCTGGCACTACGCGTCGCGCGCCAGATGGTGTGCTTGGTGGGGATGAAGGCGGCGTCGTACACCCACACCCAGCACGTGAAGGTCCGCGTGTGGCCGCGCTTGTGCGTGCGGCTGTCGAGCCGGTCGATGATGCATTTGTCGCCGAGCACCTCCGCCGCACCGTCAACGGACCACAGGTGCATGGGCATCTTCTCGATGACGACGCGGACGTGGAGGATGAAGTCTTCATGGTCGGCGTGGACGTCCTCGTGCCACGGCTTGATGATGAAGGCGACACCATCAACGTTGATGGAGCCTAGGCGGACGGCGTTGTCCCGGTGCGCCGGCAGCTCGAAGTGGACGAGGAAGTCCTCCGGGTCGTGGCTGTTCACTCGCAGCAGGTGCGCCGGGGTGCGAAGAACGGCGTCGAAGGCGCGGCCGACGGACATGGGGCTCGCCGCGTGCCGCTCAGCCATGGAGATGAGGAGGACGGCGTGTCGGCGGAGGAGGAACATCTGATGCTCCATCTCCGGCGACTCGATCACCACCTTGTGGCCGTCCCTTGGCTGGCGCGAGGGGTTGGTGTGGCGGCAGCGGTCCATGGCCGACGCGGGCGGAGGAGGCGAGGGGAAACGGAGCCTCTCGCGGACAGGAGCACGGCTAGCAGCGGGCGCAAGACCACCACTATGGCCACGCCAGATTTAAGGGCAGTCCATGGCGATGTGGCCCGGCAGCTTGCACTCGATGCAGTGTATGGGATCTCTACAATCGACGCGGCGGTGCTTGGAGCTAAGGCACCGGAAGCAGAGCCCCCTGAAACGCCTTAAGAAGGCCGCGTGGGCAGCGTCCGCATTGAAGGAGAGGCGCTGGCCTCGGGGATGCCACGAGCGCGCGGGGGAGGCATGGGCGCGCGCGGCGGCATGGCGCGCGTTGCGGGACAGGACCGACGTCCATCTATCAGCTTGGCCGGGAGAGGAATGGTCAGTGCGGGGGGAGGGGCAGACCACGATGGATTTTAGGCGGAGCGGCTCCATTGGGCGATCCCTGCTAATATCCAGCATGGATAGTGCGGCAGTGGCCCCAGAGCACTCCCCCCGGAGCAGAAGGCGCGGCGGAGAACCGGGGTTGACAGCAGGAGGGCTGGGGGGGCGGCGGAGGGAGCGGATCCGCGGACGGACCGCCGGACGGACGCAGATCTGGGACGGAGGCGGGTTGGCCCCATCCCTCGCTGCCGCGTGAGCTGGAGCGTGCAGAGCCGCGGGAGTGCACCGAGCGTCCGCGCCCCATGGATTCGGGAGGGTGGCGCCGGTGGCCAAGCGGCCAGCGACGGGGAAGGTGGCCGCCGCGGCCGGAGTGGCCAACGGCGCAGGGGGGGAAGGGAAGGGGAGAGACGTTTCCCGGCGTAAGTGGAATGTGATGTTTGCCGGGTAGTAACGTATGAGTGGTATCATGAAAGAGTTTATTTATTAGGCTATGGACTCATTATGCTTTGAAATGTCTGATGTTACAGTAACTACTCTCTCCTTATTAATTAGCTGTCACATAAGCAATTTTGTATTGAAATGTGTGATGTTACTAGTTAAGTTACTCTTACTGTGACTAGTCTAACATAAGCTGGACATCAGATTTGTGTTGTCGAGACGGCGCGGCTCATCTTGTTGGCCACCTCGGTTTTCGCCTATATAGCCCAGAGAGCGCGCCGGTTAACTCGCAAGGAGGCGGAAGCACCAAGTATCGTCTCCTCGATCGGGCAGTTGACTGGTAGCTGCCGCATTGCATTCGTGGTACCGATACCGCACCCTACTGGCAGTGGCAGGCCACATATTTTCCTTTTCAGACCGGTCCAGTCCAGTGTTGACTCTCTTGGCATACAGGACAGGAGAGATCATCGATCATCGATCGATGGCTTCCTGTGCTGGCGGTGGCGATGAGCCGCTGACGGACGCGCTGCTGGCGAGGGCGGGCAGCGGCGACAAGGATGACCTGGAGGAGATCCACAGCGTGTCGGCGTTCCTGCGCTGCGCGGCGGAGGAGAACCGGCGGCTGTGGTGCCTGGCCGGCCCGGCCATCTTCACGTCGCTGGCGCAGTACTCGCTGGGCGCCATCACGCAGGTCGCCGCCGGCCACCTCACCACGCTGGAGCTGGACGCCGTCTCCACCGAGAACTCCGTCGTCGCCGGGCTCGCCTTCGGGATCATGTACGGCATGGGGAGCGCGCTGGAGACGCTGTGCGGGCAGGCCTACGGCGCCAAGAAGCTCCCCATGCTCGGCGTCTACCTGCAGCGTTCCTGGCTGCTGCTCACCGCCACGGCCGTCTGCATGCTCCCACTCTACCTCTTCGCCACCCCGATCCTCAGGTTCTTCCACCAGGACGACCAGATCGCCGTCATGGCCGGCCGCTTCTCGCTCTACATGGTCCCGCAGCTCTTCGCGTACGCGCTCAACTTCCCCATCCAGAAGTTCCTGCAGGCGCAGAGCAAGCTGATGGCCATGGCGGCGGTGTCGGCGGCGGCGCTGGTGCTCCACGTCGCGCTCACCTGGTTCCTCGTGGTGCCCATGCGGATGGGCCTCATCGGCCTCGCCGTCGCGCTTAACGCGTCGTGGTGGTTCGTGGTGCTCGGCCAGCTCGCCTACATCGTCATGGGTTACTGCCCCGGCGCATGGAACGGCTTCGAGTTGGACTCCCTCGCCTTCACCGAGCTCTTCAGCTTCGCCCGCCTCTCCATCGGCTCAGCAATCATGATCTGGTACGTGCATTTCGTACAGCTACCTACTTATGGTCCAATGAACTGCCATGAACTGTTGTAATTAATCACCTATGTTCCCGCTCTTTAGCTTGGAATTCTGGTTCTACATGTTCCTGATCGTGATCGTGGGCAACCTTCCCAACGCTCAGGTCGCCGTCGCCGCAGTCTCCATCTGGTGAGCTAGCTAGCTGTTATAATTTCCACTTTCCAAGCTGAGCAAAACGGTAGCTAGCTTTAGTAAAGAGTAAATAGTAGTATAGTAGCACTGACATGTTGCGATTTGTGGATGTGGCACATTGGCTGCCGCGTGCAGCACCAACCTGTTCGGGTGGCAGATCATGGTGTTCTTCGGATTCAATGCAGCCATCAGGTAATCTCATCAATCAATCAACCAATCTGCATCAAAACACATTCATGCCTGCGCGTTAATCCAATCTTTGGAGCAGCGTGAGGGTGTCGAACGAGCTGGGCGCGGGGCGTCCGCGGGCGGCGAGGTTTGCGATCGCGGTGGTGCTCATGTCGTCCGTGGCCATCGGGGTGGCATTCTTCGTGGCCGTCCTGCTCCTCCGCGACGTCTACGGCGCGCCCTTCACGGAGAGCCCCGAGGTGGTGCACGCCGTGGCCAGCCTGGGCGTCGTCTTCGCCTTCACGCTGCTGCTCAACAGCGTCCAGCCCGTGCTGTCCGGCGTGGCCGTCGGCGCCGGGTGGCAGTGGCTGGTGGCCTACATCAACCTGGGGTGCTACTACGGGGTCGGCATCCCGGTCGGGTACATGATCGCCTTCCCGCTGCGCCGCGGGATTCAGGTACGCGCTCCGCTCCGTGCATGCATGTCTTTGTTCGTTTTGTTTTGAACCGACCGTGGTTGCTTGACTTTGGATGGGATGCAACAGGGGATGTGGGGCGGCATGCTCACCGGGGTGGGCCTGCAGACGGTGATCCTGATCGCGATCACCATGCGCACCAACTGGAACAAGGAGGTGAGCGATCCTGGTTTGACTGCTGGGTTTCAGCCTCGGGCAAAACGAGACAAGTCCTGATACTACCATCTTTTTTTATCTGAAACTCACGCTTAAACTACCATCTTGGAATGTGTTTGGCACTTGGCAGGCAAGCGAGGCGAGCTCCAGGATACGGCAGTGGGGTGGTGGCGGTGGTGCATCGTCCAGGATCCCGGACAGCTTCTAGCGCCTCTGCCTGTTTCTTGGTGGCCAACCGAATTATTTAAATCATGTGCGTGTTAGGCGAGCTATAACCAAAACTGGTCCCGTGGGCAGTCCCTCTTGTCCCGTTTGTGTTTTCTTGTCGACAACACGCAACACCGCAAGGTCCTTGCGCCGTGTTATGAATGAAGACGGAAAAGGAAAAGGTTCCAGGAGATCCCCGTGATGTGGTTTGGTTTCGCCTTCTCCTTTTCTTTTTGGAAGCTCGATCGGTGTGGTTTGCAATGAGTTTGTTCTGGCCATGTAGTACGTCGTGTGACAGTGTGCCCAGCTGGCTCTGTCTCGTCCGAGCCTCTTTTTTTTTCTGACGCTTGAGAAACTCCAAGACTACCCGGCGCTTGGTTTGCCGGTTGGGCCCATACGCAACCCTTGTTTATGCATTTGCAGCGACATTAATAAGACGGAGCTCGTTTGTGCTACGGCGCAACAAGGGGATGTAGCTTGGATGGTAGAGCGCTCGCTTAGCATGCGAGAGGTACGGGGATCGATACCCCGCATCTCCATCTGTTTTTTCATAGTTTTATTTCCTGGGATTTCAGATCTCAGAGTTCCATAATGGTCAACCGCCCGATCGTGCTTACCCGTGCTGTTCGCCATGGCCACGCCGGCCTGAGCAAACCACCAGGCCACGCGCAAAGATCACCGCCGGTCGAATGGTAGGGCGGCGCGACCACGTTGTTTTGTGTGTTGCTGGTGTACTATTGGCAGTTTGGCACACGCGCCTCAGACCGTATCGCCTCCTCAATGCTCGACCTTTTGCAGGAACGCACGGCGTTGCCGGTGTTAGGCCAACTCCAACGGGCCGAGTCCGTTTGTTGCTAAACGAACACAAAGTACGGTCCAATTGTATGGGAGCAGACGGTATTGATTCATTTTTGGTCCAAATTTAGGCCATATTTACGTTAAAACAGACAACGCGTAGACGGACACGACGCGGGCCCTTGTCCTTCCTTGATCTGCTCGTCGATGACACAGACTTTCCTTTTCTCTTCCCCTGCTCCTCCCTCAGCCTTCCGCCATCGTCGCTGCCACTCGTCGACACCCATTTTCCACGCCATGCCATAGCCAGCCCACGTTCTCGTTTCCGAGGACTTTTCTCTCAGCGTTCGTGGCTCTTTGTTGCTGCAGTCGGTGTGAGAGAAGCTACGGTCGCCGACGACGCCCATCAACCCCAACACCTTTCGGCAGACGCTGTATAGCCGCAGGGCGCCACCCACCAATGCCAACCTTGCCTTGCTGCCCATGAGGGAAATTAGCAGAGGAAGTTGCTGATATATACAAAACCAACTGGCCTTGGCCCATCAATGCTCTGGATGAATGGTCCTCCTTAATTAAATTCCCACCAGAAATTGATGTTGCCACTGTTGCAGGCTACCCTTGCTTTGGACTGAAGAAAGACAATGTCATTGTTAATGTGGAGGTCTGGAAAGGTAATGTAGAAGCAGAAAAGGAGCTGCAAAATGTCTGAATCAAAATCAAGAAGATGAACCCCAAGTGGTGTGAATGGAATATGCTTGATCAGATCACTTCCACCCTATGAGTGTTACTGGATGTTGACTGGCAGCATAACTTCAAGACGTTCTATGAATCTGTTAGAGTGAAGATCTCCTGCAAAGATCCCGCAAGAATCCCTGCTGAAAGGCTATTTGGGATCAAAGGAAAAATTTACAGACTCCTGATTGAGGTTGAACCAAACCCACATGAGGTGGAGGTGGTGACAGCAACCATCCCCCCATAGACACAAACACTTCCTTGGAAACCAGGTCGAGAGACAGTGCTTCTACTGGGGAAAGATCTCAGCAAGACTCTAGGACTGGCTCAGAATCTGGCTCTCTCACTGGACAGGGTAACACTAATCATAGAACGCAGCCTTCAGGGCACCAAAACTTCCAGGAGAGAGGCGCTCCTACCTCCTTACTCAAGAATCAACTCCCAGAGACACAAAATCGGCCCAGGATGGATATGTTGGAATAACTCCTTAACACTGAACAGGGGGACTCGGTGGGTTTCAATCTGCTGAGGGAGATGGAACTAGCTGAAGATGATGAGATTTTATCTGAAGATGGAACAGAAGACCACGACTCTACTGCTGGGCCTGAACAGCCAGACCTGGAGATGTGTTATGACACAAACTTCCCTGCTTTGGAGGTGGCGAAGGAGAACAAGAAATGGGGGCCAGTTCAAGTGATACGTCTCCAACGTATCTATAATTTTTGATTGCTCCATACTATATCATCTACTGTTTTGGACATTATTGGGATTTATTATCCACTTTTATATTACTTTTGGGACTAACCTATTAATCGGAGGCCCAGCCCAGAATTGCTGGTTTTTTGCCTGTTTTAGGGTTTCGAAGAAAAGAAATATCAAACGGAGTCCAAACGGAATGAAACCTTCGGGAACGTGATTTTCTCATCGGATAAGACTCACAAGACTTGGACCCTATGTCAAGACACGTAACAGGAGGGCACGAGGTAGGGGGGCGTGCCCACCCCCACCAGGCGCGCCCTCCACCCTCGTGGGCCCCCTGTTGCTCCACCCACCTACTTCTTCCTCCTATATATACCCACGTACCCCCAAATGATCAGAACAGGAGCCAAAACCCTAATTTCACTGCCGTTACTTTCTGTATCCACGAGATCCCATCTTGGGGCCTGTTCCGGAGCTCCGCCGGAGGGGGCATCGATCGCGGAGGGATTCTACATCAACACCATTGCCTCTCCGATGAAGTGTGAGTAGTTTACCTCAGACCTACTGGTCCATAGTTAGTAGCTAGATGGTTTATTCTCTCTTTTTGGATCTCAATACAATGTTCTCCCCCTCTCTTGTGGAGATCTATTCGATGTAATCTTCTTTTTGCGGTGTGTTTGTTGAGACCGATGAATTGTGGGTTTATGATCAAGTCTATCTATGAATAATATTTGAATCTTCTCTGAATTCTTTTATGTATGATTGGTTATCTTTGCAAGTCTCTTTGAATTATCAGTTTGGTTTGGCCTACTAGATTGATCTTTCTTGCAATGGGAGAAGTGCTTAGCTTTGGGTTCAATCTTGCGGTGTCCTTTCCCGGTGACAGTAAGGGCAGCAAGGCACGTATTATATTGTTGCCATCGAGGATAACAAGATGGGGTTTTCTTCATATTGCATGAGTCTATCCCTCTACATCATGTCATCTTGCTTAACACATTGCTCTGTTTTTAACTTAATACTCTAGATGCATGCTGGATAGCGGTCGATGAGTGGAGTAATAGTAGTAGATGCAGGCAGGAGTCGATCTACTTGTCTCGGACGTGATGCCTATATACATGATCATATCCAGATATTCTCATAACCATGCTCAATTCTGTCAATTGCTCAACAGTAATTTGTTCACCCACCGTAGAATACTTATGCTCTCGAGAGAAGCCACTAGTGAAACCTATGGCCCCCGGGTCTATCTTTATCATATTGATCTCCTACTACTTAGTTATTTCCTTTTCTATTTACTGTGCCTTTATTTTACTTTGCATCTTTATCATAAAAATACCAAAAATATTATCTTATCATATCTATCAGATCTCACTCTCGTAAGGTGGCCCTATAGGGATTGACAACCCCTATTTGCGTTGGTTGTGAGGATTTATTTGTTTTGTGCAGGTGCGAGGGACTCACGCGTAGCCTCCTACTGTATTGATACCTTGGTTCTCAAAACTGAGGGAAATACTTATGCTACTTTGCTGCATCATCCCTTCCTCTTCGGGGAAAACCAACGCAGTGCTCAAGAGGTAGCAAGAAGGATTTTTGGCGCCGTTGCCGGGGAGGTCTACGCAAAAGTCAACATACCAAGTACCCATCACATACCCTTATCTCCCGCATTACATTATTTGCCATTTGCCTCTCATTTTCCTCTCCCCCACTTCACCCTTGCCGTTTTATTCGCCCTCTCTCTCTATCATCCCTCTCTTTCTCTGTTTGCCTCTTTTTGCCCGCTTGCTTTTTGTTTGCTTGTGTGTTAGTTTGCTTGCTTGTCGTTACGGCTAGTCCCTTATCTTTTCCATTGTCTCCCGAGAATGAAATTCTAAATTTTAAGCAAAGGGAGGGTGAAAATATAAAAGATGCTTGGTATAGAATTTGCAATGCTCAAAATAGATCTGCTAGGAAGCAATCTACTACCATTCTCCTTCGCAATTTTTAGTAGGCATTACTCCTTGGCACCGTTATGTTCTTGATACTATTACCGGAGGGAACTTTTTGGGTAGCCATACTTTTGATTCTTATAATGCTATGTTAGATTTATTTGGCTCACCCCCTCTCTTGGTTAATGGAACTATATTAACTTTGGAGCATGTAATGCAAAGGCTTGAGATTATTGAAAATAGGGTTGCTACCATAGAATTAATTGAAAATTTGGATAAAAAGATCCACAGCCGAATCTCTCAATATGGATCTAAAGTAGGAGTTACTTTGAAAGATATTAAAGAAAAGGAACCCATAGTTAATGAGAAAATAAATCATGATTCCGTTAGGATCGATAAACTTGAGAATATTATTACCAACTTCGGAACCGCCTTTTCTTCCGTAAAGAATACTCCAAGTCCTTCCACTAAAGTTGCCAAGATTATGTACGTCCCTAAAAATAAGGGTGAATCATCTAGTAAGGAAAATGCGGATCTCAAATCTATAAGTGTTCATCCCAATCTTTTTGCTATCATTAACGAACCATTTGTTACAAATGAATTTTTCGATCTTGTGCCTAAAAGTTTGATAATCAATAAAAATAAAGAAATTCCTAGAGATGGTAGATGCCTCATTGAAGAATTGCCTACCAAAGATGGCACTACCTAGATCTATTCTTGCTTGTTATGCCTAGCTAGGGGCGTTAAACGATAGCGCTTGTTGGGAGGCAACCGAATTTTATTTTTATTCCTTGATTTTTGCTCCTGTTTAGTAATAAATAATTTATCTAGTCTCTGTTTTGGTTGTGTTTTTTGTGTTTAATTAGTGTTTGTGCCAAGTAGAATCGTTGGGAAGACTTGGGGAAAGTCTTGTTGAACTTGCTGTAAAAAACAGAAACTTTAGCGCTCATGAGAACTGCTGTCATTTTTATTTGGAAGGTGCTATTTAGTTAATTCTTTTTCAGATGATTAATAGATAAATTCCTCACGTCCAGAAATTTATTTTAGAATTTTTGGGGTTCCAGATCCTGCGCTAGCTACAGATTACTACAGGCTGTTCTGTTTTTGACAGATTCTGTTTTTCATGTGTTGTTTGCTTATTTTGATGAATCTATGGCTGGTAAAATAGTTTATAAACCATAGAGAAGTTGGAATACAGTAGGTATAATACCAATATAAATAAAGAATGAGTTCATTACAGTACCTTGAAGTGATCTTTTATTTTCTTTCGCAACGGAGCTCACGAGATTTTCTACTTTAAGTTTTGTGTTGTGAAGTTTTCAAGTTTTGGGTAAAGATTTGATGGATTATGGAACAAGGAGTGGCAAGAGCCTAAGCTTGGGGACGCCTATGACACCCCCAAGATAATATAAGGACACCTAAAAGCCAAAGCTTGGGGATGCCCCGGAAGGCATCCCCTCTTTCGTCTACTTCTATCGGTAACTTTACTTGGAGCTATATTTTTATTTACCACATGATATGTGTTTTGCTTGGAGCGTCTTGTATGATTTGAGTCTTTGCTTGTTATTTTACCACAATCATCCTTACTGTACACATCTTTTGAGAGAGCCATACATAATTTAGAATTTGTTAGAATACTCTATGTGCTTCGCTTATATCTTTTGAGTTATATAATTTTGCTCTAGTACTGCACTTATATCTTTTAGAGCACGGTGGTGGATTTGTTTTATAGAAACTATTGATCTCTCATGCTTCACTTATATTATTTTGAGAGTCTTTATAGCATGGTAATTTGCTTTAAATCCTAATATGCTAGGTATTCAAGAAGAATAAAAATTCTCTTATGAGTGTGTTGAATACTATGATAAGTTTGATACTTGATAATTGTTTTGAGATATGAAGATGGTGATATTAAAGTCATGCTAGTTGAGTAGTTGTGAATTTAAGAAATACTTGTGTTGAAGCTTGTGATTCCTGTAGCATGCACGTATGGTGAACCGTTATGTGATGAAGTCGGAGCATGATTTATTTTTTGATTGCCTTCCTTATGAGTGGCGGTCGGGGACGAGCGATGGTCTTTTCCTACCAATCTATCCCCCTAGGAGCATGCGCGTAATACTTTGCTTTGATAACTTGTAGATTTTTGCAATAAGTATATGAGTTCTTTATGACTAATGTTGAGTCCATGGAGTATACGCACTCTCACCTTTCCACCTTTGCTAGCCTCTCTAATACCGTGCACCTTTCGCTGGTATCATACACCCACCATATACCTTCCTCAAAACAGCCACCATACCTACCTATTATGGCATTTCCATAGCCATTCCGAGATATATTGCCATGCAACTTTCCACTGTTCCGTTTATTATGGCACACTCCATCATTGTCATATTGCTTAGCATGATCATGTAGTTGACATCGTATTTGTGGCAAAGCCACCATTCATAATTCTTTCATACATGTCACTCATGAGTCATTGCATATCCCGGTACATCGCCGGAGGCATTCATATAGAGTCATATTTTGTTCTAAGTATCGAGTTGTAATTGTTGAGTTGTAAGAAAAATAAAAGTGTGATGATCATCATTATTAGAGCATTGTCCCAGTGAGGAAAGGATGATGGAGACTATGATTCCTCCACAAGTCGGGATGAGACTCCAGACAAAAAAGAAAGAAAGAAAGAAAGAAAAGAGGCCATAAAAAAAGAGCCTCCATGAAGAACTCCGATAATAAAAGAATGATCCAAAAGAATTGAAGGATGAAAAGAATAAGATTGAAGCCTTGCAATTATTTATATGGATCTTCGTGATGATATAATGCGGAAAATATGGGACTCCGGAAAAAGAAAATATGAAACAATTTAAATCGAGAATTTATGAGCCTCCGGAATAAGGAATTAATCACTTGGATGAAACAAGAGTAAGAATTACATTATTCTTATCCTTCACCAATTTAAATTGATGACAAGCAACGGATTTGGCATAGCACTTATTCTGTAGAAAAGATTAAGACAGATATTGCGCAAACTTGAGAAGGTCTTCAACGAACCACCGGTAGGATTGAAACAATGAATAAATTGATATGATAACAAGGAAGGGAACT